CCCTCCTCCCCGTCCTCCTCCTCCTCCTCCTCCTCCTCCTCCTCCTCCTTCTCCTCCTCCTCCTCTTCGTCCTCGTCCTCGTCCTCGTCTTCGCGTTCCTCCTCGTCATCCTCCGCCCTCCCTCCTTCCTCCCCCCTGCCCGTGCGCAGCAGTGGGTGGCCTTGGCCTGTAGTCCCCCCGCCCCCCGAGGCGCGGCAGAGCCCTCGCCGGGCGCTCCGCCGCCCTTTGCGGACTACCGCCAGGGCCACGAAGGCGGTCGCCCCAAAGGGGAGGGACGAGGGAGCCCAGAGATCGACGCTCCAGGAAAATTGCAGGAACGGCGGGCCTTAGGTCGTTATCGGCCTCCAGAGGCCCCCGTCGGGCCTCGGGAGCTTCAGAAAACGACTCGGGGCTCAGGACGAAGCACTGGCCCTGGGAAAGTGGTCCAGACCTCGGGAGCCCACGCATGGACAATCTTGGAGCGGCCGGATGTCTGGGGAGAGGGTGGAAGGAGGACGAGGACGAGGACGAGAAGGGAGACGGGAAGGGAGACGGGAAGGGAGGGGATAGGGAGGGAGAGGAAAGGGAGGAGGAGGAGAAGGAGGACGAGGACGGCGGCAGCGGCATGCGGAGGGCGGAGGCGGGAGCGGTATGCGCGTCGTTGCTCCGCCCGCCTCTGCCCGAGCCGCCCTCGGACGGGCCTGAAACGGCGAAGGCCCGCCCAGGACTCCAGCGGGGCCCAGGGAGCCCAGAGACGGCGGGGCTGCTGTGGCGTGCGCCTCCACCCCGCAGCGCCTCCCAGAGAGGGAAGAGGAGGAGAAGGAGGAGGAGGATGAGGAGGAGGAGGACGGCGAAGAAAAGGAGGAGGAGGTAGGGGACGAGGAGGAGGGGGAGGACCAGAGAATCGAGGAGGATCGAGGTGAATCGGGGATCATCCAGGTCCCTACAGGCGAGCGGGGCCGAAGCGGAGGGAGCTCTGTGCGGGCGCTCGGCTCCGTTGCCGAGAGCCCGCTGATCAGTCAGCTCGCGAGGGCGCCGCGGGGGAGCACACCTCCGTCTCAATCTCGCATCGTCTTCCGCGTGCTGCGCGTCCTCCCCCTCCACCGATGCTCCTCCTCCTCCTCCAGCGCTTCTCCCTCCGCCACCTCCTCCTTCTCCTCCTCCTCCTCCTCCTTCTCCTCGTACTCGTCATCGTCATCGTCATTGTCATCGCTGCGAGGGCGAGAGTAGGCGCACGGGGCCAATGCCGAAGGGGGCCGGGAGGCGCGACAGCAGCGCGCATGGACTGGCCGAGGGGGGCCAGGAGTGGGTGAGCGAGCGATAACAGTCGCGGCGCGAGTCGGGGCCGAACTGCGAGCGCTTGCGAGCGAGCTTCTCGGCCTTAAGTGAGCCTTGGGCCATCGGTCGGGATGGTTCCGATTGGAATCTTCGCGTCGATTCGCACGCGGTGCCCTGGGGCAACATTCTTGACCCAGGTTCTCAGCCGCAAGACTACCATACCATGGTCCGCAGCAGGCAGGGGGGAGAGAGAGAGAGGCAGGCAGGGGTGGGAGAGGAGTCAGGGAGCGAGGGCGAGGATCGACGATCGAGGGAGAGTCGGCCAAGCGCAGAGGGCGGCAGGGGGAAGGGGCAAGGCTTCCTTGGAGGTACCCCTGCTTCTTGGAAGGCGCGGGCCTTGTCTGCATAGATGCAGGGCCGCCGCCTTCTGAGAAGCAGCCTCCTCCTAAGGAGCCCTTCCCCCCTCCCCCCATCCCCCTCTGCGGGCCGCCAAGAGTCCGAAGGGGAAAACACACACGGACACAATGAATCGTCGACCCCCAGGAAATCAGGGGAAAACGATTATAGGAAGCGGGGGGGGAGACGAAGACCCAGAAAAGATGGGGACATGGGGGGAATCCTGGGAGCTGTGTCTGCTGATGTTTGTGTCCCTGGGCCCCCTCGGAAGAGATCGAGGGTGATCGGGGACCGAGCAGGGCTCAGCTCGGAGGCCCGGAGGTTGGCACCAACGCCATAATCGGCAGAGTGCCTCCACCAGGGGAGGCTGATCCCAATCTCGGTGAGGGTGGTAATACTTGGGCTTCCTAGGTGTCCGAAAGAGTACCACCGACAACGAACTCTGGGATCGTCATCCCCCAGTGAACGCAACTCCGTGTTCTGGTGTCGGTTTTCATTTCCAAGCCTCCAACAGCTTCTCCCAGCGCCCCGGGGCGCGGCGCCCCTCGGCCGAGAGGCGGCGCCGAGGGCCCGGTGGGCTCCCCCGCCCCAGGGCTCCGGCGCCCGGAAGTGTCCCGTGGTACGTGGGTCCTCGGCGGCCCCGACGCCCTCCCCTGGGAGCCGGCCTTCCTCCGAAAGAGAAGCAACGCCGTAAATGATGGGCCAATTTTCCACCACCACCATACTTACGGTAGGTTCGCGTCGTGTCGACCGGCGGCGACCCCGACGCCGGCGTTCAACGTTGAACGCCGGCGGAGGCCCAGAATCGGTCGATGTTGAACGATCGGACGTTACGGAAATGGCCGATCGTTCAAGGTTGAACGATCTTCGCGGCGTCAGGGACCAACGCCCAGGTCGACACGGCACGAACCTGCCGTATGCAGGACGGGGGAGAAGGGAGGATGGGGAGGTCCTCCTCCTCTTCCTCCTCCTCCTCCTCTTCCTCCTCCCTCCCTCTCCACCTTCTCCTGGGAGCGGCCTTCCCCTGAGATCCGACACTGCCAAAACATTGCAACGTCGCAAAAAATCACGCCCAGAGCCCCAGACCGCATCTTTCTGCTTCATTTTTCGATTCTGATCGACCTGTGAGGGTCCCTGGGCCCAGAATTGAGCGAAAACCCGCGTCGTGAAAAAATTGCAACGCCAGGATCTCAGGGTGTTTCGAAGGAGAAACAACGCCATATACATAAATTGTTGGCGCTCCGCGCGGAGTTCTATAGGATCCGCGCCCGAAGTGTGTCCCGTGGCACGTGGATCCTCGGCGGCCTCACACCTTTCCTCAGATCCTGGCGTCTCAAGTTTTCCGAGCCGGGCGATTTCGCCTGTTTTCGGGCCCCGGGACCCTCACATATCGATCCGGCTCGAACAACGACGCAGAGAGACGCGGTCTGGGGCTCCTGGCGTGATTTTTCACGATGTTGCAATTTTGTTCGCCTCGTCAGATCGCAGGGCTCCCTTGGGAGCGGCCTTCCCTCAACGGAGGAAAACCGTCATAAACATAAACTATTGGCGCTCCGCGCGGATTTCTGGGATCCGCGCTGGGCCTCCCTGCGGCGCCTCCGGCGCCGCCCCTGGCGCGCTCCGCCAGGGAAGGTCGATCCCATGGGGCTGGCGCGCCACTGGGAGCGGCCTTCCCTGAGATCCTGGCGAGGCAATTTTTTCACAGCGGGCGCGTTCGTTCAGTGTCGGGCCCCGGGACCCTCACAGATCGACCCGGCCCGGAAAATGGCGCCCGAAGCTTGGGTCCCAGGCTCCGAACGTGATTCTTTGCGATGTTGTAAATTTGTTTCCCAGGTTCCCCGGGCTCGGGAGGCGTTGGCGTGGATGTCAAACATTTACAACGTCGGATCTCAGGGTTCTCACCCCGAGTCGTTTCTGGAGGGCCTCCTGGGCCCGCAATGGAGCTGCGAGTGCAACGCGGGGTCTGAGGCGCACCAGGCGGGCAGCAGTACATCGCTGGAGTTAAGTGGGGTCGGTCCCTCTACAGCAGGAGTATTCAAAACATCAAAAAATAGTATGAGGATGATCTTTTGAGTATATGGTTTGACTATGATGGTGTATTTTTGATTATTTTTGAATTCTTCGCCCAAAATCCGTCTGTGGGGGGCATGCCCGACCTCAGGCTACAGCCGCTAGAGCCTACGCAGAGGCCGATGCGTTCCGATGTTTCTGGATGCGTGGTCTCGTCCCTCGCACATGGACAACCGAAACTCTGCACGAACGAGATGGGTACGGAACGAATGGGTACAATGCCCAACAGCATTTCCTGTTCATTTTGAACAGGACTCGCTGTCCGCGCCGCCTCGGCCTGTGTCCATTTGAGAGAGAAGGCCGCCTGCCCAACAGCAGCTGCTGTTAGTTTGGGACAACATTTGTTGTTGGGCATTGTACCAATTTTTTCCGTACCCATTTCGGGTGTGCAAAGAGGCGCCGGTGGGGGATCCTTCCTGGGGTTTTGCCAACACTGCGCAACCGTCTCACTCCTCGTGGGCGCCCGGGAGGCCCAGCGGAGTGGAGGTGTGCACAGATGCCGACGAGGCTTCGCGGCTCCTTCGGGGAGGGGCTGCCGCAACTGCGAAACCGTCGCCGTTGTCGTTGGCCCCCAGGAGACCCAGCCGGGTGGAGGTGCACAGATCCAGACGAGGCATCGCAGTTCCTGGGGAGGGGGCACCTGAGCGACGCAAAAAAAGCTTGCTCGACTTCGCCGACATTCGAGCGTAATCAAGCTGCCTGCGCAAGGTCGCGCGTATGCGCCCTCGGCCCCCCGCGCAATCCACCGCGCAAGGTCGGTGTATCGTCTCGCGAAAGGCGCGCTTCATTTCGCCGCTCCCCTGTGCAGATGTAGGCCAGAAGTTGCCCCAAACCGCCCGCTCCGAGCGTGCACTCCCGGCGCAGCGGCAGAGCCGTGGCTCTCCGAGCCCGGCCGGGCGCGCCGCCCGCGCGCTCTGCGCCGCCCCCCTCCGTGCCCGACGGCCCGCCGGCCCGCGCCCTCTGCGGTGCCGTGTCCGCTCCGGGGCACGCCGGTGAGCGCGTCTGCTTCGTGGCGGCGGCGGGGGCCGCCGCGCCCCAGAGAGCTCGGCGCTGCAGCTGTTGCGCAGCGGCCGTCTGTTCGCCCCGCTGCGGGCCCCAGGGCCCTCACAGATCGACGCGGCTCAGAGCATGCGGCTCAGAACATGGCGCAGGAAGATGTGTTCCGGGGTTGTTCTTCCTCCTCCTCCTCCTGCTCTTGCTCCTGCTCCTCCTCCTCCTCTTCTCCTGCTCTTCCTCCTCCTCTTCCTCCTCCTCCTCTTTTTCCCTCTCTTTCCGCGAATGGGACTTCGTTGCAACGTCGGATCTCAGGGTCGGGCGCGCCGTGAGGCGGCTACCCCGCGGGCGCGGCGGCACACGCCGCGCTGCCAGCGGACCCGTCGCCCCGCGGCCCGCCGCCCCGAGAAGGTCAGTGCCGCCGCCGTCGCCGTCGTCGTGGTCGTCGTCCTCCTCCTCCTCCTCCTCCTCCTCCTCCTCCTCCTTCTCGCTCTGGCGCTCGCTTTCGCTCTCTCACTCTCGTTGTCGTCGTCGCCCTCGTCGCCGCCCTCGTTGTCGCCTGCCGCCGCCCCGCGAAGGCCAGCGCCGTCGCCGCCGCCGCCGATGTCGCGGTCGCTGCCGCTTGTGCCCCAAAAATCCCGCGCGCTGTGAACAAAAAGCACTGGAGTCTGGGGCAGCGTCCGGCCTCTGCGGGCCCTCCTCGAGCCCCAGGGCCCAGCGGGGGACCCCTTCGACGACTTCGGGATGCACCGTGAGGATGGGAGGGAGGGGGAGGACGCTGCCAAGAGCCATCTCGAACAGGGCCGCGACGTGCCAAAGCCAGGAGGGTGCCGCGGCGGCGGAGCCCTCCACGATCTTCAACGGCTGGGGCATCCCTGGGCTGCTGCACGGCACCATCCTGTGTGACGGCTCCAAGTTGGGTAAGACACGCTGGGCGCAGACAGGATGGGCCACCAGAGCCATCCGAGCTCCTGGTTCAGCGCACCATCAAGCGAGCCGAAATGTGGAACTTCTACCAGGCAATCAGGAGCGCCACACTGCCGTGCACCATCCGCACCGACCACGAGGGCATCGTGGACGACATCAGGCACGATAAGCAGTGTTGCGTCTTGGCCAATCGGCCGCGCGCAGACGTCTGGAAGAGGATCTAGGACAAGCTGGAGGTCCTCGGCTTCGCCGAGGAGCAGGTACATCACGTCCGAATACACCGAACCAAGGCGTTGGGTTCGGCAAGGAGCAGACTCTTGAGGCCCTGGGACAGAAAGTCCGCTGGGCGCTGCGCAGCCTGAGCTGGTGGCACACCGCCGCGGACGAGTGGAGCGACGTGTAGGCCAAGCCAGAGCAGGCCCGCCGAGACGTGCCCAGGCCGCCACCGCGCACACGCTGGTCGAGGAGGGCACCTGGCTGCGCTGCACGGTGTATGGGAAGACGGATTTTGTTCCCGCCATTATCGGCCACGCGCAGAGGGGGTGCGATGGAAAGCGCGACGTTCCCACACCAAACATCGATGGACGTCCCGGGGTCTCAGGGTTGGGTTTCTTGTGGCCGGTTTCTTGTGGATGAGTCCCCGCTGCAGCTCAGGAACCAGCACGGGCACCGAGAGCTGTTGCTGGCCGAGTAAGCCCGACCGAGAAACTGGCGAGGCCCGCGGGTGCCGTGTTCCGCCCTGCGCGGGGCGGTCATCTCGGATGGCGCAGTGTCAAGTCGGGCACGTCCTGTATACAGGAGGAATAACCAAAGATAGTCAACAAAGTAGCCTGGGGACGATGTTTCGATTATTACTTGACGATTTCGGAACATTCCTGGGGCGTGCTTAAATTTGTCGCCCAAGAGCTCCCTGTAGGAGGACACGCCCGACCCATGCGCAGTGTGTGCTGCGCTGGTGGGCGCGGCTCGTTTTGCCGCGGTGGTGTCCAGGCTCGTGTGGTTAAGTCGGGCATCTCCCTCTACAGGGGGGATATTCGAAAAATGTGCAAAAATAGTCTGGGACGATTTGTTGAGTAATGGTTTCTATGTTTGAGCAGGTTCTCAATATTTTGCCTGCTTGGTCCCAGGCCTCCCGGGTGGGGTCCGAGCAGGGCCGGGGTTGGAGGATCGCGCCGCATGTCGCTTATGCACCGACGTTGCGGTTCGGTGTGGAGCCCGTGTTCCGAGTATGTTCTTTCTGGGTGGAGGGCAAAGGGTGACATCTAAAATGCCGTTTCGATGGATTTTCGACGCTTGAGTCTGCAAAAGGTGAATCACAAGACGGATCGATTTTCGAGGTGCGAAAGCACATATGGATTTCACCCTGAGCCCACGACCCTAAGAAAATGCTCAGGTGCTTCCCCACGCCCGTGTCGGCGATGCATCGGCGATGCGGCGCGATCCCTCGAGCCCATCTTCTCTTCAGTCGGGCCTGTCCCTCTGCAGGAGGATTAGTCAAGAACAGTCAGAAAATTGTCTGGGGACGACGAGTTCAGTATGTTTGATCATTGTTGCGTATTTTGGGGCCAGTTTTCTCCCCCGAAAAATCCCCCTGTAGGGGGACAGGCCCGACCTCAATCTACTCGGACCCCACCTGGGAGCTCCCCTGCGCGGGTGGGGCCGTCCCCCCCGCGGGGGGGTGGGGCGGGGCCTCTCCGAGACATCCTTGCGGGGCCTCGGCTGGGGCACGCTTCTGTTGCCGGCAGGGCCCGACCTGAACGGTGCTTCGGCGACCTCGTGGACCGTCGTTCGAAGAAGAAAAGACCACATAATCACCACCCACCAAACCACCCCAACCCAACCCGAAGGCCTCAATTTGCCGTCCATTTCCAGTGGGGGGGGGTCCGGGAACATCGAAAAAACACATGTGGAACCCTTACCCCCCCAACCCGAAATTTGGGTCTTCGGGTTGGGTTGGGGTGGTCTGGTAGGTAGTCATATAAACATAAACGTTTGGCGCTTCGCGCGGATTTCTTGGATCCGCGCCTGGGCCCCCCGGCGGCGCCTCCGGCGCCGCCCCTGGCGCGCTCCCGGCGCGCTCCGCGCGCCAGGGGCGGAGGTCCAGCGCGGATCCAAGAAATCCAGGTGGAGCGCCAAAAGTATATGTTTATGTGTTTGTGTTCTTCCTCTAGTCCTCGTTTCGATGTCGCTTTGCAGCAACAGCTGAACGAAGACAGAACGAGAGAGAATTAAAATGTAACACACTGGTTCGGTCGAGCCCTGTTTGTCGGTGCCGTGTCTTGGGTCTTCGTCGCCACGGCAGGGCCCTGGGGGCTCCATGCGGCTGGAGCGCCGCTGCAGTTGGGTGGTCGACGGCCATTTGGTTAACGGAGTTATCAAGAAAAAAAGTCCCGGGGAAGGGATTCAGATCTCCGACGCCATGTTTTTGTTCGCTTCAATATTTTGTCATCGGTCGGATTCGGCCCCTGGGGCCCGTCATGGTGCCCCAGGGCCACCAGAAGCGGATCTGGGGCGAAGAATTGCATCCATGTAAGCGTGGTCGAGATTTTTGGGGCCGCGGATTCAAAACATCGTGTCGGCGGCTGTCTGAGGTCGTTGTCGCCGTCCTCGTCAGCGTCGCCGTCATCGTCCTGGTCCTTGTCGTCGCCGCCCTGGTTCTCGTCACCGCCCTTGCTCGTCCTCGTCATCGTCGCCGCCGTCGTCGTTCGTTGTCGCCGTCATCCTCCCTCGTCATCGTCGTCCTCGTCGTCGCCTGCCGTCGCTCTCAGTGTGCATCCTTCTTCCCTCGGTCCTTTTTCCTCGGTTGAGGGGAGGCCTTCCTGGAGGGCCAGGGGGAGCACAGCTGGCTGCAAGGGTTGAGAGCAGCCCTGGCTCGGCGGGGCAACTATGTTCTTCGTGCTGGGGCTCTCCACCTTGGATAGGGCGCTTTCTGTAGCACCTGGGAGGGGGCAACTTCCTCCCCATCCCGCCCCCCCTAGATGCAAGGGGGGGGGGGAACCGCCTCCCCTTCCTCCCCCCCACTCGCCGCCAGCAAACGACGACGGCGTTTGCCGACGCCAGCAAACAGCGACGACGACGACAACGACGACGACAACGGCGGCGGCGACGACGGCGTCGGCGGCAGCGACCGACGACTGTCCTCGTCTTTGTCGTCATCGGTTAACTTTTGCCGTTGAATCAAGGAAGGGAGGGGAATGGCCGGGAGGGAGCCCCCCGGTTCCGACGTGCCGTGGGCAAAGCAAATGCCCGTGACACGCGTTCCATCTTATTTTGGAATGCGTTTCGTTGGCGGTATCTCCGTGTGTATTGCGGTTTGGGCGAAGAGGCGCATGCCCTTGACCACGTTGTTATGGCCATGTTCCGGTTGCAGAAAGGGGGTGAAGGAGGTGGTGGAGGAGCAGGGGGCCAGGGAAAATGAGTGCAGGGAAGAGAATGAGGAAGGTAAGAGGAGTCTGAGGATCAGGATAGGGCGGAGGAAGAGAGGCCGGAGGACGGGCAGAGGGAGCGAGGGAGAGATAAAGAAGAGTGTAGGAGGAGAGAGGGGGACAGGCTGATGCGAAGGAGGTGGGACCAGTGTATACCCAAAACGTATCAACGATGTTGCAAGAGAAGACCCTCCAAATCCTCTCTTCAGAGGTTCCTACAATGATTATGATCAGTGCTACAAGTGCCCCATGGAAGACGACCGTCTTAGAATCCTCAATCGCACCCAGACACCATTCCTCGGATTTGAACGCCATGCATCAACTTGACTGTTGCGTCCTGACAGTCCTCAATCGTGCCAGAACAAAACGGCTCGCACTTCGACGCCGCGAACCAAGTGATTGGAGATGGGTGTTTCCTGGCAATCCTACAACGTGCCAGATCCTGAGATTTCAACCATACGAGTCCTTGAAACAGATGCAAGCGTTTAAGACGAAGGCGCGCGGCTCTAGGGCGAGAGCCACCTCTCGAAGAGGAACGGCCCTCCATCCCTGCGATTGGCGCAGACTCTCGCGACCACGGCACGCAGCGCTGAGGCGAGGGTCCTGTCCTGAAGAGGGCCCGCCCTCCCCCCACGAAGCTGTCCCAAGCCGTTTGAGCGGGCGCAGAAGCTGCGGCGCCGAAGGAGCCACCCGCCCCCCCCCTCCTTGAGATCGCTTGCAGGCTTTTGAGACGCATGTGCGCGGCGCCGAAGCGAGCGCCGCAGTTTGGACACCACCCGCCCTCCACTGTTGAGATTTGCTGCAGACTTGTAAAAATAATGTGCGCGGCGGTAAGGCGAGAGCAACATTCTGAAAACAACCCACATTCCATCCGTTGAACTGCGGTTGGGAGTCTCAAGCAAAGCGTCCGGCCCGCCCTACCAACACTGCTGGGGTGCGACAGGGAGGAGTTATGTACAAGAGAAAGAGGTGGAGGACCAGCGTTCTCCTCTTCCTCATTCCCCCCCCCCCTCATCCCCTCTTCGTCTTCGCCTACATTCGCTCATTGCAGAAGGCCCCTCTCCCTCCTCAAGGAGGACATCGGGCGAGGAGATGCGGCAGCAGGAGGAACAGGGAGGATGAGGCGGAGGAGCGAGGAAGGAGAAGAGAGAGCAGAAGCAGAACGAGAATGATGAGGGGGAGAGGAAGCATCTCCTCGTCCCCCTTCCCCTCCTCGAGGAGTGGGGATTCCTTGAGGCGCAGAAGGCGGGGCAGGTGGAGCGGAGGATGGGGAAGAGGACTAGACTCCTCCTGCTCATCCTAAACATGCCTCTCCTCCGCCTCGTCGTTATCATCACCATCATCAACAGCATCATCAACATCACCAGAATCGCCATCGGGATCCTCTCCCTCCGCGTCCACGTCCTCGTTCTCCCTCCTCTCTCTCTCAGCTCTCCCTTCTCCCCCGCCACCTGCGCTCCAACGCCCTCCCTAATCCTTCCTCTTGCCTTCGTCCTCCCTGCCATTCGTGCCTCCTCCCTCTTCCCAACTCGTGCACCCCCCCACGTCATTCTCTCGAGGGGCGCTGCAGACTGCGGCAGCTGCAGCATCGCGCCGCCGTCGTCACCTCGTCATCGCCGCCGCCGCCTATCATCTCATCATTGCTGCCGCCGCTCTCGCCGCCGCCGCGCACCTCGTGGTCGCCGCAGTCGCCATCGCCGCAGTCCTCGCGGCCGCCGCCGTCGCCGGTTGCAGCCGCCGCCGGTTGCAGCCGCCGCCGCCGCCGCCGTGGGCGCCGCCCCGCCGCCAGCCGTCGCCGCCCGCGAGCGACTGCCCGCCGCGCGAGGCACTGGGCCGCCGCAGGGCCGCGGCGCGCGGCTCGGCAGCACTCCGGCGCCCATCGGCGAGGAGGCTGCTCCCGAGGAGGCGGCGCCGCTGTCGCCCGCCGCCGAGGCGCGTTCGGGCGCGCGCCCTCGTCCTCCTCCTCGTGCACCTCCTCCTCCTCCTGCACCTCCTCCTCCTCCTGCTCCTCGTTCTCCTCGTCCTCCTCCCGGCTTCCCACCTGTTTCATCGCTATCTTTTTCGTCCAAATCGTTCCAGATGAGCCGGGTGTTCCAAGGGATCTTTCTGACGTGTTGGATGCTCCCCGCAGAGTGCGAGCTATGCAAGTCCGTGAAGACGGGGGCCAAGTCGCATTCAGACTCATTGGAGAAGCTACGGGACGAGGGGCTGCAGAAAGAGGCGATTTCCCGGAAGATTGGTCCACCATATGTGGTGGCATGGTTATGCATGGGCTCTCCGGAATCATCCCACCTTGAAGGACCAGCACACAGCCTTGGCCAAGACCATCGAGGACGATCTCCAGACATACCAGCTGATGGGCATTGGGAGAGCATGGCCGATCATTCAGACAGAAGGAAGTGAAGCAATCCCGCCTGACGAATGCGTACAACAAGGCTTACAAGAAGCTCTTATGGAACACGAAGGAGAACACCAAGGCATCGCGCCTCATTCCGGGCCTGCAGCTGTGCCTCCCCACGGGGGATTTGGAGCGCCGCGTGCAGCAGTGGCTCGACGAGCAGAACCGGTAGAGACGGCCAGAGAGACGCACGTTGTAGAAACTCTGTTCAGAGCGCATTCGATAGAGTAGCTTCGCGAGCTAGCCGGCCAACGCCAGCTTCCCACTTCGGGCAACAAGCGTCAGATTGCACTCAGAATTGCCAGATCCATGTTTCGCTCGTAGCGCGCCGGCAACTCTCGAATTGCACGGTCTCTTTCTCTCTCTTGTCTTGTCTGCCGTTTTTCGTTCTCTCCGTTTTTGCCTCCTCCTGTTGTCTCCTTCGTCCTCTTCTCTGGCTTCTGCGCTTGCTGCTGTCGGTCTTCCATATCACATCCACGCTCTGTCACGCATGCTGAAGCGAGCCGCGGTGGCTGCACGAGCCTCAGCCGAGGGGCCCAGGACTTGCGCCCCGACGGGCTTTCTCAGTGGCGGGGCCACGCCAGGTCTGCCGGTAGCCACCGCTACGGGCACCTTCTCTGCGCCGATCTTCCAAGCCCTTTCAGACAGGACATGGTGCCACAGAGCGAGTCGAGTCGAGCCGAGTCCTCCTCATCATTATCCCCCTTCCCGTCCCTCCACTTCCCTCCTCCTCCTTGTCCTCCTCCTCCTCTTCCTCCTCCTCCTCCTCTCCCTCCTCATCCTCATCTTCCCCCTGCCCCTCCTACTCCTCCTCCTCCTGCTCCTCGTCCTGTTCCTCATCCTGCTCCTCCTCCTCCTCCTCCTCCTCCTACTACTACTACTACTACTACTACTACTACTACTACTACTACTACTACACTACTACTACTATACTACTACTACTACTACTACTACTACTAACCTACGACTACGACGACTACTACTACTACTACTACTACTACTACTACTACTCTACCACCTAACCACCACACCACGACTACCTACTACTACTACTACTACTACTACTACTACTACTACTACTACTAATACTACTACTACTACTACTACTAACTACTAACTACTACTATACTACTACTACTACTACTAACTACTACTACTACTACTACTACTACTACCTACTACTCTACTCATACTCCTACTACTCCTACTCCTATCCTGCTCCTTCTCCTCCTCCTCCTCCCACTCCCCTCCTCTTCCTTCCTCCTCCCTCTTCCTCCTCCTCTTCTCCTCAGCCTGCTCCCCTCGCCCCCTCCTCCTCCTCCTCTTCCTCCTCCTCCTCCTCCTCCTCCTCCTCCCCCTCGTCCTCCTCCTCCTCCTCCTCCTCCTCCTCCCCTGTTCCTCCTCTTCCTCCTCCTCCTCCTCCTCCTCTCCTCCTCCTCCTCCTCATCCTCATCCCATCCTCATCCTCATCCTCCCCCTCCTCCTCCTCCCCCCCCTCCTCCTCTTCCTCCTCCTCCCCTCCCATCGCCCCCCCCCCCCCCTCCCCTTCCCCGTCCTCCTCCTGCCCTGCTCCTCCCCCTCCTCCTTCTCCTGCCCCCTGCCCCTGCTCCTCCCCCTCCCCTCCTCTCCTCCTCCTCCTCCTCCTCCTCCTCCCTCCTCCTCTCTCCTCCTCCTCCCTCCTCCTCCTCCTCCTCCTCCTTTTCCTCCTCCTCCTCCTCCTCCTCCTCCTCCTCCTCCTCCTCCTCCTCCCCCTCCCCCTCCCCCTCCTCCTCTCGATATGATGACAATTGAATGTTGCTGCCACTCCCACATGGAAAAACAGTGCGAGGCGACTTGGAACCAGGGAACCCCGCAGCTGGAGCCCCGCAGGGGCCCGACGCGAAACGAGCCGAGCCCGGCAGGGCGACGAGGGCACCAAGGGAGCAGAACGAGCCGAATCCAGCATCAGCATTGTCCATCCAGGAGGCTTCCCCTTCACACCTCGTCGGTCTCGCGCAGGCGCCGCCTGCTTGGCTATCCTGGAGGACTTCTGGCCTCTGGGTCGCGCCACGCGACTGTGATCGTCCGGGCGCCGCCCAGATGCACGAGCCTCACGAATCCGAGCGTGGATATTTGGCCAACGAAGGTCTGGAACATGCTGTGTAAAATGGTGCGCAAATCATAGCTCTCACAATGAATTTGGCGACGAGCTAAGCAGCGGCGAAGTAGCAGCTCGACAAATACAGTGGCCTCGCATTTTCAACTGTTGAGCCTGGCTGACACAATGTTGACGGATGACGTCCATGGCATCGGCGAGACCAGATTCATCGAAGGCTTCCACTACTGATTGTGATTTCGCGCTGCAGTTGATGCTGTCCGGCTGCTTCCCATTCTGTGGCTGATGGCCCATTCTCGCACACAGCCTGCTGCCATTGCCATCTATTATGGCACGAGCTGGCCCCAGTATTGTAGCTGATGACGTCAGGCTGCATCAAGGCGCCCACTGCAAACTGCTTCTCGCGCTGTAGCTGATGCCGTCTGGCTGTTCCCCGTTTTGTGGCTGATGACGCCTCCTCGCACGAAGCATGCTGCAACTACCCTTTGTTCTCGCACGAGCTGGTCCCAGTGCTGTAGCTGACGGCCTTTGGCTGGGTCGAGGCCACTACTGGCTGCTTCTCACGGTGTAGCTGATGACGCCAGGCTGCTTCTCGCACTGTGGTTGATGACGCCTCCTCGCACGCAGTCTGCCGCCACTGCCTTCCGTTCTCGCACGTGCTGGCCCCGGTACTGTAGCTGATGACATATGGCTGCATCGAGGCCTCAACGTCTGGCTGCCTCTCGTGCCCTGGCTGATGACGTTTGGCTGCCTCTCGCTTCGTTGCCGGTGACACAGTCTCGCACGAAGCCTGCTGCCACTGCCGTTCAATATCGCACGAGCTGGCGCCAGCGTTGTAGCTGATGACGCCTGGCTGCGTTGAGGCCTCGAGTTCTGACTGCTTCTCGCACTGTAGCTGATGACGTTTGGCTGTTTCTTGTGTCTGTGGCTGGTGACGCATTCTCGTGCGAAGCCCGCTGCCACTGCCGCCCGTCGTCGCACGAGCTCGCCCCAGTTCTGTAGCTGATGACGTCTGGCTGCATCGAGGACTCCACTTCTGGCTGCCTCTCGCGCTCTAGCTGACGACGATTAGCTGCTTGTCGCACTGTAGCTGGTGACGCTTTCTGGCACGGAGCCTGCTGCCACTGCTGCCCGTTCTCACAAGTCCAGCTTCCAGAGCTGAGGGTGAATGCATCGGTTGGGATTTATCCCACGTTCTGCTGCCACTGTTGCCCTTTTCTCGCATGCGCCCGCCCCAGCACTGTAGCAGATGGTGTTGGTTGATGCGCCACCTCCCAATCCCTGCTGCCTTTGCCGCCAACTCTCGCACATGCTCGCCGTAGCAGTGTAGCTGGTGACGATCATCCTCTGCATGGTGGGTTGGTGCCGGGCCTTGTCTAACGCAACCTTTGCCTGGCGTGCCTTAGCCACTGCTTGAGGGTGCAATCTGCCATCTTGGGCCGTTGTTCAAGTCTCGCCGAGATTATGTTTATGAACACCGTTCCATAGGTCGATTCGTGTGCCAACTTCCCGCGAATGAATGCCTTGACTGCAGTTACGAGGTGCGTCGGGGTCTCGACGAAAGAACTGGCTTTGAGTGCGAGGTCCAAGATACATCGTCCCTCCATCTATGCCTGAGCTGTCCCGCCCAAGACCGTCGCCAGGGCATCGCACTCCACGAGCGCGCGCACCGCCACCAAGAGTCTCCCCCTCAGCTCAAAGATCAACGTCCCAGGAAGCGCGCCCCACATCGGGGGCAAGACAGTTTGAGCCAAGATGGGAGGAGAACGATTGAGCCAAAATGGCTGCGGCGTCTCTCTTCCTCCTCCTCCTTCTCCACCTCCTCCTCCTCCTCCTCCTCCCTCCCTCCCCCCCTCCCTCCCCTCCCCCTCCCTCCCCTCCCGCCCCCCCCCCCCTCCCTCCCCCCCCCCCCCCCCCTCCCTCCCTCCCTCCCCCTCCCTCCCTCCCTCCCCCCCCCTCCTCCTCCTCCGTTTCCTCCTCCCCATCCTTTTCCCCCTCCCCCGCAACCATTTTGGCTCGAGGGGCCTGCTCCTGAACTACCCAACCTCCGCTCGAGTCTGGCAGGCAGCGCTGCCATATTTTGCGTCCAACCATTCAGTTCCCCGGGCGGGCCGCAGGCGCCGCCATCTGCATCGCTCTCCTGTGCAGCCCAGGCGCTGCCAACAGGCCATGGCTCCATCAAAGAGCTTCCGTCAGTGGGTCTGTTGCTCTCGTCAGGGTTGCAAAGGTTGGTCCTATTCGGACCGCAACAACAAGTTCTGTTCCCAGCGTGGCGCCACTTTCCCCAAGTCTGGGCAGACCAAGTCAGGACAGCCGCCTTCATGCCGGCCGGGAGGAGGCAAATCGACGGGAGATCGCCATGGGACAGAACCGGGACGAGGCAACCGTTGGTCTCGTTTCAAAGAGAAGGGACAGCATGAGTTCATCGCCGCAGCCCCCCCCCCCCCCCAGAGTCAGCCGCAGGCGCAGGCGACCCTGTCGCCGCGCATTCAGATATTGTAATTTGTTGGAAGATTCGCGAGGGCACGGGGGGGGAGAATTATGCCAAAGTCGCGGTTGCTCCCAAACAAGCGAAGTCCTCAGCCCTCCAAGGTGGGCCCTTGGAACAGCAATGTCAATCCCTTCGCGATCAGGTCTCCGCCGCCCAAGGCAAAATCAAGAAGTTCCCCGAGCAGATCAACGGCTACGTCGACGAGGTCTCCGTCCTGGCAGACAAGGCCGTTGCCATGGAATCGGACAAGGTCGTCGCCACCGTCGAGCTGGAGCAGCTCGAGGGCCAGCTCGCGGTCGCCATCCGTGCGGTGGCGCAGCAGGCGCCAGCCGCAACCTCCACCTTCTTCCCGCAGGCCGCCAGATTCGTGGGGGAATTCCAACATGGGCAAGTCGTGGGAGCTCCGCCGCAGATCCAGGAACAAATCCAGGCCCTGGGGAAGTCACTCTCTGCAGCCTACCAGCAGCAGCAGCAGCAGCAGCCGCAGCAGCAGCCGCAACAGCAGCCCCAGGGAGAAGCAGTCCGGACAGCCGTCAGTGAGAGCAAGCCCCCCATCTCAGGAGAAAACGTTCCTGTTCCAGTCGGA